ATTGTACCTAACCTGTTCTTTTACGCGCATGAGTACTGCGTAGTTGGTCATGTGATCGCAATGGCACTCGGTAAATCCGTCGTTACTGTAAAATACACGACAGCCACGTCTGGACCATTTCCCAAACTTTGAGCTTATTCCACTAAAAAAGAAGGGCGTTATAAAATTGGAAGGTCCAACTCAAGGGAAATCAAGCCAAGTAATTTATTATATAATACCAATGAAATGCCAGGTGAGCCATGGAGCTAAAACATGATGACTATAACATGTTCCTCTTTTTCCTCACAAGTTAAAACACTATCAACGTTGATATAGCTACACATGCTATAGCTAATGGCATTGGTTTTTATATAATAAGTAGTTTGATTACAGCTTAGAGATACGAAATTTCTGTTCTTGTCATGAAAAAAAAAATAAGACAAATAATAATAGATCAAACATAAAAAAAAAACAACACTCGAAGACAAATTTCGCATCTTCGCGCCGCCATGTATTACTGAAATCCGGCCTCTACTCTTTATGATGAATTTCTTGGCAACTACCAAAACTAAATCATACGTACGCATTTGTATAATCCCAGAAAACACAGTGTGGTTCATGGTAAGTATCCTGTCAAGAAGTAAGAATTCAAGATAAAGATACACAAACGGTTGACAATCACGCATGCGATAAGATACTCAAACAGCATTTATATCATAGAAGTTCAAATAATTAGCAAATAATTTATTTGATGAACTAAATACTCTTTCATAACATCAGCACTACCAGGATGAAGTCAAACCCCGCAAAATAAAAAATTCCTCAATACTAACAGGCCGGGTTTGATCATCCTTCTTATCACTGTGGCTACTTGTAATTAAGATGTTTAAAGGGTGTTTTTGTCTTTTTGTAATTATTAGTTCTTTGTATCAAAAACTAAGGGTGTTTTAAAGATCGGATTTTGCGCGTTGAAAGATGCTTGAAAGCAGCAAAATTATTTTTTGAAAAGAAATTATTTAATTACTTCATATAATAATTAAAAAAACTTTAAATTTTGGGTCGAGTTTAAATGAAACTGAAGAAGTAGATGAACATGGAGGTTTAAAAGAAAGTGTTGAAGCCATTCAACTGTGGCATGGAAATCTCTCATTGTTTAAAAAACTGCATGGCCAGAGAAATGGAAGTATTATTTAGCTCCTTACGCCCGTTTTGACCTGTGCACGGCTGTCATAAAAAGAGCTCAAAAAGATTCCCCGGCGCATCCATTAAAATTTTCGAGAAAAGAAGACTAGTTGACTTAGCGAGCAGTTAAGTGGCTCTCATACTTACTTCAAAATGACGCAAGTTAATTTGAATAGGCCTGGGCAATGGATAGAGTGGAGGAGGCCTGGTAAAGGCGTTGACAATCTTGCTCACAATGTAATGGTCAGCGCCAAAGCTAAAATATCAACAAACAACAACAGGAATACGCAATATTGCCTAACGCGATTGAAAAAAAATAAGCCCTTTTTTGACTGAACTAGCAGGACAGCTCGTGAATTTATTAAACACAAACCTTCGGAAAAACTGTGCTTGCTTATAAAAGCGTCAGGGATCAGTTTTACTGAATAAAGATGAATTTCATGTTTGACGGCAAATGCATGAAATCTTATGTCTCAGGTAGGCCTTATAGGGGAATGGTAGGTTGATGCACTGGAAAAGGAAGCCCGAACAATTAAAAGTATCATTCATTTTGGAAGTTTTGACAGTTTTTTATGTTTCCCAGCATCCTTCTGTTCCTGACCAGTTTCCAAGAATGTGCATCCATTGCAATATCTACAAACAACTCAGTGCGCGGGGGCTGGGGTTGAGAGGACGGGGAAGTAACCGCCCCCCCCCCCCCGACCTTTCTTAGATAACACAAGTTTTATTTTCACTTGACCTTAATTGTTTTCGCGACGTGCCTACTATCTGAGACCTGAAACGGGTTACAACATCCTTATGCGCTTGTGTTTTTATCTTAAAGTACAGTCAGTAACAACAGCAGTTTCACATCCGCTTTTAATTTTAGGTTAGTGCTTGATTTCATTGTTACCACTTACAATTAATGATGCAAGATTAAACAAATCTTTACATGACCTAATTCTCATTGATTCGTCAGTCCACGTTTTGTTCTGAGATGCAAACCTGTTTGTTAGTTTTAGAATTGTGCAATGCAAAGGAAACACTTAGAGCGCAGCTCTAGCAATAAGACTCAATACTACAGTCTCAGACAAAAATAGTTGGGACACTTTAACCAAACGCTGTTTTTTCCCTTCTCGTGCTCCCCTCGTCCCTCTCAAAGTTGTTTATCGCGGTTTGGTCACCAAATCTTGTACACCAACATTGAGGGGACAAGGAGACCCCAAAGTGTCCCAACCATTTTGACTGAGACTGTAGCTAACATACCTCGGAAATGCTCCCCGCTCTCGGAGCTGCTGAAATGGATCAAACACCAAAGTGATCAAAACGCCAGTCTCTAAAGGAATTTAAAAGATTTAAGAGAGTCATACGTTGGTTGTTTTTCAATACATGCGTAAACAGGTCAGTGATAAACTCTTTCTTATACGTGCATTGGAAAAATATAAATTACCTTGTATTTATTATATCTATCGCGAATCCCGCTTTCTGATTGGTTGACGTACTCGCTGTCTTTCAGCTTATACAGATGGCGCCAGAAGATAAAATTTGATTGAGTTGGATTAATTTCTCATGGCGTATTTTTTTTGCGCCGAGAGGTAAAGATAAGTAGGGTTTAAGCCTAGAAGTTCTTCAAAACGAAGTGAACGGAACGGGCGGTTGCAAACAACATAAATAAACTAGTTAATACATTTCTTTTATCGGTACTGACACTTAGGCTGCGTTCCATTGAATGTATTCCAGAAAAAGAATACGCAAACATTTTGTTATAAATCTCTTCTTTCGTGATTTTTTGTCAACGTAAACGCTACATGCATTGGAATATTTTATTTCAAGCAGATTTATAGACATTGCAATGCAACGAATGCCAAAACAAATGATTTTAGAATTTTTTTTTCAATTTTATTCTTATTCCGGAATACTGTTAATCGAACACGCCCTTAACCATATGAAGACCTAAAGGCCTGCTATCAGCTGCACGACTCACCATTTCTTTTATTGGACATGTGACCAAACACGCCCCTTGGAAAAATGATGGTACTGTTATCAGCGTCCAAAGAGCCCAACTGTATTCCCTCGAAGGTTGAAATTTGAACTACAAATATGTGGCAAACTTGAAAAAAAGAAAGAAATATAACCAAGTAAAAAATCTTACAAATGTTTGTTCACAAACACAAATGAAAAATGCTATATAGCTTATCATCATCATCATCATCATCATCGTCATCGTCATCGTCATCGTCATCGTCATCGTCATCGTCATCGTCATCGTCATCATCATCATCGTCATCGTCATCGTCATCGTCATCGTCATCGTCATCGTCATCGTCATCGTCATCATCATCATCATCATCGTCATCGTCATCGTCATCGTCGTTATCTTCGTCCTCGTCTTAGTCGTTGTCGTCATAATCACCATCGTCTTAGTTTTCTTATTATGTTTCTTCCTCTTCTTCTTTTTTAAGTATTATTATTATCAATTGCTTTTTTCGTCATCCACAGTGGAAGACTTTACAGAACAAACAATATATTGTAACCATAGTGTTCAAACATATTGGTAAACTAGAGCTAACAAGCCTCCCATAACTGCTATTGACTGCCTTAAGTAACCTCCATGACTCATTTTAGGCGCCTTTCAATCCTTAAGAAAAAAACACTGATAATGCAAGCTTTGTAAGCAATTTACCAAGTCCTCCAGCAAAGTAGCTTGAATGTAAAACAGACGCATTTCTTTGTCCAAGTGTATGCCCAACCATTGCAGTAAACCTTTCCAAGGCATGTAGTACCGCCATGCACGTAGATAGCTCCTGAAATGAAACCGGTCGATCACCGATTACGTTTTTAATTTCGTCCTTACTGTATGCTGAACAACTTCAGGCATCAATTAACAAAGCAAAGAACTTAAAAAAATCGAAATCAAAACATTTTGACGTACGTGTAGTTGTTGAGATGAGTTCAAAGCGTTGTCAAGAAAGTCCCCGTATCTTAAAAGGGAAGCTGCTTTATTGAAATAATCCTGCCAACGAACAAATATTTTCAAGTGAGGTGTACATGTGGAAGAATAAAAAGCTCTTCAGACAACATTCTGTTCCAGGAAACAGTTTATGGACCGACATAATCGAGATCGGCAAAATGTCAAAAATCAACACTTGCCTGTATAAGCGTTTTGTTGTCGGAGGCAATTTCGTTGCTGTTGAAGTTAAGGATAAAATGGCGATCTGCGATGAACAAAATAGATTGACGTCAACTGACCGTTTACTTTCAAATTATAGAAAACGAATTAAAAGCCACTATATGAACCTAAGATCAAAAAACATTATACCCGTGATGTTTTGTCCTTTAATCAGGTCAAGTTATGCTGCTCCACAGCAGACAACGGATCTTGATAAAATAGGATAGTGTATCTACATTTGAATTTCGTTTGGCTATGTGTCACTAGCTAAAGTGGTGCGGACGATCCCAGTCGTATGGACGTCACTTGCAAGGAAAAATTTGAAACGCACAATGAGCTACCAGTTATCTTACCCATGATGCTCAGCAAGCGCCATCGGCGCTGGAGTAAAAGGCCCAAGTAGAGTAAGAGTCACGTTTACGGCAAACGGCAAACGCCAGAAATTTCTCAAAGTAGGAAATGAGCAGACAAGAACAGCTCCAAAAAATTCTTATGGATGAAACTGGCGTGAAACTACTAATTTTCGTTTAGGAGTAGTGCTGACAATAAACGACAAGAATAGGGAAACTTTGACACGTACGACAAATTGACGTTTGCCGTTTGCGGCAAGAATAGGCAAAGAATATTTATTAAAAAATGTTATTTTTAGCCGTATTCATACTAGCTAATTCGCGAGAAAACGCTCCGTGGCACAATGGATAATATAGCTCGATCGTGCCTAATTCGTTTGCTAAGAGTTAGCAACACTGAAAAACAGTTATAGAAGCTTTTAATTAATAAAGAAAACAGTTTTAAACCTTGTTCAACACAGCATCGGCTTTTAAGACTGTTTGAATGTTCTTCCACCTGTAACGGGGCATGAAGCTTGACATCTTTTATAGTAATATATAGTGATAAGCTTACCAAACTTCAGTACAGAGCGTTCTATGATCAGCACTCACCTCGTAGTAGTTTATCTATAAAGTCGTCATTTTTTACTTCTATGGAACTGTTGACAGTCTGCGTGATCAATTCTTTAACGGCAGTGGAGGGCACAATTTTGACAGAGCTTGGTAAAAGGTTTGTTGTATCTGATAAATCCCCCTCCTGAGATGAAACAGAAATTGTCGACGATGGCCTAGTGCTTTTTTCAAGTGAAGGTGTTATCGAAGGGAAAGTTTTTCCTTGTGCAGGGTACGGCGTCATATGAGAGGCACAAGTCGTTTGTAAAAAGCTTGACGACCACTTTCTTGTACGTAAGAAACCTTGTGTTTCAGTGTTTACTGTTTGTGGTAAATCCCTTTTCTTAGACATCACTAGCAGGGAAGAAGGCTTTGTACTTGCTTTTTGCGAAGGTTTAATCGACAACGAGACACGTCCCTTTGAAAGGGACGTTTTTCCTTGTCCTGAGTACGTCATATGGGAAGCATAAGTCGCTAGTATTAGACTTGACGTCCTTTTTATTGTTGGCAAGGAATCATTTGTTTCATTAAACCCATTTTGTGTACTCAGTATGTAGGAAGCTGTCAAAGGCGAAGCGGTCATTAAAGGTGACTTTAGTGCAGAATAATTCATTCCAGTGGCCAGAGTGCTGGTAATATCGTATGGCACGGAATTTAATATGTAACTTGGGAGATCAGAGGAGGTTCCAACGGGCTGCTTCGGTGAGTTTTCTGTTTTGGGAACGCTTGTTGACGGCGAAACCAAAGCTACAACGAAATGGAGGGTGTGTTCGATTAGCCCTTTTTTTTGGCATAGCAATAGATTCTGTATTTTTCCTGAATAGTCTTTATAAAAAAAAATGTCTAGATTAGACGCGATGCGACTTCTTTTGAAATTATAACTGCAGCGGGTTAATCGAATGGATCTTTTCCGGATAAGGCTGAGTTTTCCTACACCATAGAAAAGCCAATCGAGCGTACTCACAGTTACATCTCGAAGTTACAATGCTAAGTCCCCATACTAAACAGTAATCCTATTTTATAGAAATATCTCATTGGTCGTATTAACGTTTCATGGAATCGAGATGGGGTGCCTATAGTGGAAGCTTACTGCTGTCAATAAAATCTTGGGAAATAAATTAACTCATATTTCCCTCTTGAGGCCGATCTTATTAATTGTATTTATTTATTCGTTTACTTATTCGAATTCATTGTTATTATTTTTATAAACCGTCCGGCAAAAAACCTCTTAAAAGCACAAGCACACGTTGAAACTGCGGCTGGCAAAAAAACGGCAAACGCGGGAAAAGTCAGGTCACGTGACCGTCTCTGACCTTCTGACTTCACAGCCGCGAATGAGAAATATGCGAAGAATCTATCCTGGCGTTTATTCTACGACCAGTGCATGCGTTTAAAATTCGGGTCAACCAACACACCAATGTCTACCCTCAAAACATATTAAACAAACCTACCGTAACACAGGGTCTTCGAAATCTTGCTGTATTGTGAGTAAGGGTTGAATTCTTCAGATTTTTTATACTGAAATACTCTGTGAAAGTCAGCAATGCTCCCGATATTGCTTTTAACTCCAAAAGTGACTGCAATCTTCTTTACATTTCCAAGCCTTCCATCCGGGATTTTAAATCCTGCTGAATACGTTGCATTCCTTTCCTTCTTTATCATCATAAAAACTTCTGGAAGTTTGGTGAACTTTGTATTAAAAAGGTTTACTAGATCACTNTAGAAAAGCCAATCGAGCGTACTCACAGTTACATCTCGAAGTTACAATGCTAAGTCCCCATACTAAACAGTAATCCTATTTTATAGAAATATCTCATTGGTCGTATTAACGTTTCATGGAATCGAGATGGGGTGCCTATAGTGGAAGCTTACTGCTGTCAATAAAATCTTGGGAAATAAATTAACTCATATTTCCCTCTTGAGGCCGATCTTATTAATTTTATTTATTTATTGTTTACTTATTCGAATTCATTGTTATTATTTTTATAAACCGTCCGGCAAAAAACCTCTTAAAAGCACAAGCACACGTTGAAACTGCGGCTGGCAAAAAAACGGCAAACGCGGGAAAAGTCAGGTCGCGTGACCGTCTCTGACCTTCTGACTTCACAGCCGCGAATGAGAAATATGCGAAGAATCTATCCTGGCGTTTATTCTACGACCAGTGCATGCGTTTAAAATTCGGGTCAACCAACACACCAATGTCTACCCTCAAAACATATTAAACAAACCTACCGTAACACAGGGTCTTCGAAATCTTGCTGTATTGTGAGTAAGGGTTGAATTCTTCAGATTTTTTATACTGAAATACTCTGTGAAAGTCAGCAATGCTCCCGATATTGCTTTTAACTCCAAAAGTGACTGCAATCTTCTTTACATTTCCAAGCCTTCCATCCGGGATTTTAAATCCTGCTGAATACGTTGCATTCCTTTCCTTCTTTATCATCATGAAAACTTCTGGAAGTTTGGTGAACTTTGTATTAAAAAGGTTTACTAGATCACTTTCGTCCTTTGCTGAATCCAAAAGTGGTAGATCAGAAATTGCGTTTCGTAAATTGGTAAAAGAATTGAATCGGTCAAATGTGATGTTTACGCGGACTTGTGTGTTGTACAAGGCAATTGCAACGTCTTTAGGGCTTGTTAAAGAATTTGTCACGATGCTTGTGACCAAGGTGAGTTGATCTTTAAATTCTTGATTGGAAATTGATTGAGACGAGTCGACTGCAAAAGCAACTCTTGGCTGATGTGGGCATGTTTGACCTGTCATTTTAGAGAAAAATGAGCAAAATTACTTTCTTCGATACGAATTTTGTGAAATCTTTGAAATTATACCTTTTCTAGTGAAATTCAGTTATCCTTAATTCCGCTCGGGCCCATGTGATTACACGTTAACTATTAAATTATTATTGATGATTTTATTAGTTGCTTTAAATTTATTCTAGAGATACGGCAACTATGAAAGCCGGAACTTCTTTCGCGACCGACGGATTATTAGCTTTCCTTTCAGTGGTGCATTCTGGGACACAAAGATAATGCAGCTTATTCGCATTACGTGCAACCCGAAATTTGATTTTGAAACAGAATTCGTCACTTTAATGAAGATCGAAGGGAAGGCTCTTTAATATCAAGATGGACTTTTTTATCATATGAAGAAGGCGCCGAAACGATGCTCTATAATAACAATTGCAAGGAACTGGGATTGCAAATTTTCTTCCACTATAAGAACTTCTTAATAATAGAATTAGGTTTGTTACGGATTTGCCATGTAACCCTCATAACAGTATTAGTAATTGCTATTGTATGACTAGCTCAGCCGACTCATAAATTCGACAAAAAGCAAAATATTCGGCAACAAACCTGATCGTTTATAGCATCCTATGAAAACAATCAGTAGTATCCAATACTCAACACCCATAGCAATCACAGTGGGGCTAAGTGACTCAGCAATTGAGCTGATCAGTGTTTTTATGACTGCCTTTCAAGAACGCTGTGTAAGTAAAAGAAGACGTCTCTTTCTTCGCCTTTGCGAAGAAGTGTTGTTTGCTTTGAATGAGAAACTTCACCTGTCGTAATCAAACAGCCAAAAAGCTCTTTTAATGGATATTGATGACTTTTAAAAGAAAACTTGAAGTCGGAAGTTTCTAAATCAACAGGGCATCCCTTCATAAATCGCCTATTTGCGTTCCTATGACAACTTCGGCATCATTAAAAGGCGGGAACGGCAGTAAGCGGTTTACAGTTGACAATTTTGGTTAAGACATGACAGAAAGTTGCGTAGAATCAAAATCAGGGAAGAAAGTTTATTTTTTTTCCTGTTTAGAAGACACTTAAACTAGAACATCGTGCAATAAGCAGCAAGTATACAGAGGATATGAATCAGAGAGTATCCGGCTTAACCAAAGAAAAATAAATCTAGTTCATAAAAACTAGCAGACATCTGCTCGATAATAAGGAGAGTTGTCTTTTGTATTCCCAGTTTGGCAAGGTCTGAGCTAGAGTGGAGATTATTTTTTTCTTTGTGAGCTTCATTTGTTGACGTATTCAGTATATTAATCCTTTAAACCCTGACATATCGCAAGTCAAATTCTCATCTGTTGTCCTTATTACACATTGATGATTCTATAGAATTAATATTTCAAGGAGAAATTTCGTGCTGATTATTCTTGGGGCTGAAAATGTTAACAACACTTAAATAAGAATCTTTGCGATGTGACCTATCGTTACCACATCACTATCAAGGCAATTTTCAATTTTTATTTTAATATTCAATAATGTTCAAATTGACTATATTTCCTACAAATTAAATATCATTCAAAAATCTTTTTGTTCTCACTTCAATTGACATATATATAAATGATGATGTGGTCATGGCTTATATTTTCTCATGTTATCTCAAGATCTTTCCCAACGCTAGCACTTCAACTGATGATTACCGGGAGTTTTTACGTCACAAACGTTTTATCAAATTATAGATCTAGCACTGCTATTCAACGACCTCACTCAAGTTCAATGGGCGATCTCGTTGCAGTCTCGACAATTAATTCAATGTCAGCAAAATATCTTTACTTGATTACGTTACTTGGGTTGATTTTTTACGGTGGGCATTTTCTCTAACCTTATCTCAAACGAGTGAAGGCTGGTTGTCACAAGTGGAGGAGTCGGAATCAGAATTGTAATCAGAAGTGTAAATGGTCAAAGCAACTGGCGACGTTTGCTAGCCGGTTGGGGGGGGGGGTACTCCCCCATAAAAGTGACAGGGGTGCTCGTCGTACCTTTTAGGGGTTTAAATTTGGATTGGTACCGATTAGGGTGCTAATACCTAAAATGACTGCTGCGAAAAAAAAGATTTCTGACAATACTTTCGAAAAGTCCTTATGAATAAAGTGTTTGAAAGTTATCTTTATTACTATTAAAATTTGCAGTGCCAGTAATATAATTTGTTGTTGTTAAATTGGTACCTCTTACGGCAGAAATGAATTTGGGACACGCCCATAAAACTTGATTCTGGTTCTTTTTAAGGGTGTTCTCGAAAATTTCCGACGAGCACCCCCGTCACTTTTATAGGGGAGTGCCCCCCCGGGAGGTTGCTATTCTAATTATAAGGCTGTCCCTTATGATTTAGTGAAACAGCAGATCATCGAAGTCGCAAGCAGTGTACAGTACAGTTCAGTACAGTATAATCCTGCAAGCAGTACTCATGTGATACGTGATATGAGATATGTGTGATATGCTTAATATTTTTCGCTTCTTCTTTCGACTTGTCTATCTGGTTTTCACGAGCCTGTTCCAGACGTCCAGATAGTGGGTGCGGCGTATAAAGAAGTGGGCAGGAAAAATAACGAAGAGTTGACTTCGCGCCACAATCCACTATCTGAATTCCTGAAACTATGCGGCAACGTCTTAACAAAACCGCAAAGGACGGAGCTCGTTTACATTTGAATGGATGGATACAACGACAAACTGGTGGAAAAAAATTTTAAGTGCAAATGGTATACTTCCTGGGACGGTCCAACTAGCTACATAGGGGCCTATGGTCCTGCTTCGCAGCGGAACGGATAGTTGACTCGTAGCCGAGTTAATTTTTGTTTCGTTTTCAACGTGCAAACTTTTGCCCTTTTTTCGGGACTGCTCAATCGCTACAGCCCTCGGAAAGAAAAAGAGGGTGACCCGGAACTTGTTCTCGTCCCCAGGGTTTAAAAATCTCGCTCGAGGCGGGTACATTACAAAATGTTTACGTATAAGCAATCTAATTTCGCTACTGGAACCAGGGCTTGCCTTTACCTGAACAGTTTCGTCTCCTATCACGGTAAGACTGGAGTCTTCCCCGGTGGCGGAATCGGTGAAAGGACATGAAAATGTTCTCAGAAGGCTGGTTCTTGCGACTCTGACACGAGTCGAATTTTTAATAACCACTTACCATACGACTCTGATTTTTTACTATCACTTAATCTCTTAAAATATAGCCGGCGTCGCAGAGTAGCCCCACCCTGGCTGGCAACCTAAGAAGTTAGTGTGTGGCGCAGGCTGTAACTCGCGAAGGCTCTTGCGTATAGTACGCATTACGATTTCGTCTCCGACTTCTATTTAATCCGTTGGTAATCCAGCCTTATATACTTTTCAGGATCTCCCGCAAATTAACTATTCTAATGAAAGGGGCTTAAAAATGTTTTATAGCAAACTTGCAGTGAAATCTGTTTCGCTAACATCAGTTTTAGTCTGGTTTATTTGCTAACATTTGCGCGATCTCTAATAAACTACTCGTAAAAGGGAAAAATTCTAAAACTACAGAAACTTCATCAACAGGTAGTCTTCTGGTGCTTTATTTTGTGTTCAATGGCGTTGAATGCGTTGAATTCTCAAAGCACCATTTATTTATTAGCTAATCACGACGAGCCATTAATAATTTACACGTCTGTCACAGAAACGAATGAGTTCTCTTCCAAGATAACACAATAAATGTTGTGAAAGCATAAATATTTTTTGGGACATGAGCAGTTAAACCACATTTTCACCATGGCTGGAAATTCTAGATTTCTGTGGATTTCTTCAACTTTGTGGCTGCTCTATATTTGTTTCGCCGCGTCAAATGCTACTCAGCGACACAAAGGGCCGGCCGATGAGGAAAAGAGTATCATAGTTAAAAAGGTCAGGGAAAATTTATAATTATATTATAACGAAGTACCAGATATTATCGATATTAACATACAATCTATTATTGCGTGTATTATCGTTCTTGCCTGATCACTGAACGATGAAAGGAGCATCCTGTATTTTGTATGAGGGTAGAGTTATTGGAAATTAAGTTTATTTTTACCTCGTCAAGGCAGCCATTTTGAAACTATACCTTTTATCTAATTAGCTAAGGATTGTTTATATCTGAAGCAACAGCATTTTAGTGTCCGTTTTCCTACATAAGGAAAAACCAACAGAGATATAGAGCTTTTTCGAGAAAGGTTGTCGCAAAAAATGTGCACGCGACCATCCCGAAAGGTAATATGGGATATGATCTTTACACTGTACCTAACGACTGTAGCTGTCGAACCTATTTTTTTTTTGTTTTCCTTTAGTACTCGCAAACGTAAGTCCGTGGCCTCCCGTGCCATTTTTTCAAATTTCTTTGTAGAAGAGTGAACTAAAAACCACCCACAATACCTTTCGGGATTGTCGTGTGCACTTTTTCCGACAAGCTTTCTCGAAACAGCTGTATATTATGATCATGACTAGGCGTGCTGCTCCATTATATAAGCGCAGCGAAATTGGAGTGGCTGATTGTTATTCTACCATTTGTTTAGTACTTCTTTGTTGGAAACACGAACAAAAGTACAATAATTAGTACATACGGCAAAAGGTAACTATATATTTTAAAACTTACTGGCGGATAAACGTCACGCTGATAATGTATCAAGGGTGAATTGGGCAGGATGTCATCATCATCATCATCATCATCATCATCATCATCATCATCAACATCATCATGCTCAGATCATCATCATTATCGTAATATCACTTGCTACCCAATTAGTAATTTTCACCCTATAAAAATTTGAATACGACCTTTAATTTTCGCCAAAACAAGTTCAATTCTTCTAATTACTCTCCGGGTTGTTCAAACGTTGGATAGCGCTAACCACCGGATAAATCACCATCCAGCGGATCAGTCACTGTATTACGGAAATCAATTACGCTATCCGCCGAATAGTGTTTTATTCGGAGGATAGTGCTGTCCAACGTTTGAACAACCAGGGCCTGGAGCTCATTTACCCTAGTGACTCCGTTCCTTATTAGTTTAGACGGGGCCTAATCAGTCTGCAAAAGGTAGCGAGTGCAAATTGTAAGAACCATTTTCCACACAATTACTGCAGAGTAACTCCCGGTTACTTATGTAATCATAAGTATAACAAAATTCTCCGATCTGATTGGCTATCAACTGCCCTGATTTCAGCGTTAATAGGACAATTTAATTGGACAGTTCGCGCCATCACACACGCGCTTTAATGGCATTTTTTCACTGCTAGCAAAAAAAAAATTGGAATTTCTTCTGTTTTGATTTAAAAAAGAGCCTTATATATCACAAATTTTAAAGATTAAGTTATGAAAGTTATGATTAATTGGTAACAGAACTGAGTAGAGTCCAATTCGGTCTGTAATCATACTCGTGATTAACTATCGGACTCCCGCTACGCGGTCTTCCGATTTTGTTAATCACTCGTATGATTACAGACCGAATTGGACTCCACTCAGTTCTGTTACAAATACTAATAATCTTAATAACATTTGAGAAAGCCTTTGCGGTTTTAAAGTAAAGCTTTTTCAAATAAAGCGGATGCAGTCATCCAAGTAAGCCAATCGCTGCTGGAAGCAAATAGCTGTGTATTTGGCTTTCCAAGAGAAGGAAACGCACATTGGATTAGAGAGAAGCCAAAGAATATTTCAGAAAGAGTAAAAAATCAGAATTAAAGTAATTTCAATTCTTTTCACAATTTTAAAAGAAAAATTATTAAGTTTTAGCCATTTGCAAACAAATGCATTGTTACATGATATTCGTTTATCTCTTTACAGATGATAGCACCAGGCTATTATTCTCAAGAATGTAATGCACATAAGCGATGCAAAGATCCTGTTAAATATTGCCACATGTTTTTGTGCGTAGACTGTTTAAAAGAAAACGTAGCCTGCACTCAGAATGGTCAGTGTTGTCCTGGATCAGAGTGTATCTATGGCCGCTGTAAGACTGGGGCTGCCGCTGGACAAGCAGGTAAGATCGTTAATTTCTTGGTCACGGATCGGGTCGACATGGTCAATGATGCAAATTATTGCATTACTGAACTGAACAGACTGAGCTTTCGATTCTTATAAGTGATTAAGTTGGTAGGCAGCGAATTCAGAAAAGAAAGGATGGGAAGAGAGGAGGAAGGAAGGATGTAGATTCGTAGAGAAAAATCCAAATTGTGGCCTATGCGCATGCGCCACTGCTTAATTACATCAAATTAGCAGGAAAATATGCCTTTAGTGTCGCACAATTCATTTTTGCCATTCCATGCTACTTGGCTGAAAGTCTGTTCAACACTTAGGAGCAGTTAAAAAGTGAGGTTCAAATGAAAAAGCTTTTTAAATGTCCCACATGGGTTAAATCTGAATCACTTTGTGCTGGTTTTTCATTGCAGGAGCGTTTTGTGACAGACAAAGTGACTGTAAAGACCCAGATCTTTGTTGTGTTCGCGAGGCTGCCATTAACCCCGCCATTTCGATTTGTAAGCCCGCCTTAGATGAACATCAAACGTGTGGACCGTATAATCAGTACCGTACGCTCTACATTGGTGGTACTGTGCAACCAGCCTGTGGTCCATGCAAGCAAGGATTAACGTGCAAACAAGTCGGGTAAGGAAACACCTGTATATGGTAAAAGTTTCACGTGCACATAAACCAGTTATAGTCTGCTTGCAGGCTCTGTAGCAATTTGATTTGTTGGCGGACCTAGGCGTCTCACTGTATTTTACTTCTCACGTTACATTTTAGGTTGTTTATATCTGCTTTACGTCTTAAATTTCTCTTTTCTTAATTTACCAAGGAAAAAAATTTAATCTAAAAATTATGAAGTTATGCAATTATAAGGCGAAAGACTTCAGCCTTTGTAATTGAGGTCATTATATTTATGTCATAGGCGGGATTTAAGATTCCTTGCGCGCATTGACCCTTTGATAGAAAGGTCCAAGGACTTGTGCTCGGATTATAGATTTAAGAGGAAGTTAGTGAAATTGGTGAAATATTAATCTCCTACACAGTCTTGCTTTGTGTCCTGGAGAGAGGCATATAGAATGAAGACTTAAAGAACGTCCACGTAAGGGGACTGGTGGTGCCTGTGTTGAACTCTGGGATAAATGTTTTGTTTTATTTAACTTTTCAGGATATTTGGCGTCCACCAAGTTTGTCTTCCAGAATCAACCCCTTCCGTAGGAAAGAAGTAAAAAGTCACCATCGAACTTTGCTTTAAGGATGAGAAGTTCAAGAACATTTAACTCAAAGTTAAGCCAGTAATAAAGAGCTCAAAATTGTGCGAGAAATCCGATGTTTGCTTGCCGAGAAAAAATAGTTGTCACTGAATCAGTGCCAATCGACGGTGTGCAGCATTCAGTATATATTTATTAACAAATCAATTTTGATGTTTTAAGTGATTATTTGTGGTCATGAATCAGTTATTCCTTGCTTTATCCGTAATTCGTATCTTTTAGAAATACTTCGAAGCATTTAAGGTGAACACGAACAAATAGAAGAAGTTTGCTCTCTGTAAACTCAATGTTAATTAAATCACTCTCCGACCATTTTTTTTTTACCGTAATCCACTTTACCTCAACAAATTTGAGTTTGAGTAAGTTTCTCCAGTGTTTTGTCGCGTCGCGCTTCAGGTATGAAGGACAGAAAGAGCACAGTTACTACTAGTAATAAACACCCTTGTTTGATAAAGCAGAGTCCAGTTGTGAGTATGTCGTTAGTTGAATAAAGTCAAACCGCTCTTGACGTTCACCTTCACTAAATTTTTATACGAATATCTGTTTTACAGACAGTTCTCTTAGTACCGAGGAGACCGCCTTCATACAACCCCCGGCTTCCTCTCTGTGATACGGACACCCCTGTAACGCAGACACTTGGCTCGGTATCCAGTTTAGTGTCCGAGTGAAGGAGGTCTGGCGTTTTTTTAACTGACTGGTTAATCAGCCTTGTTCATCCCCGAGAAAAATTCCTTTTAGTCCGTGACTAGATGCAGCAGCACCAGAAGACAATTTCCCTAGAGTTTCTAACAGTGAGCTTGTAACCAATATCATCATACACTATATAAAGATTTTCATACTCAGTCGGTTCACCGATGTTCTCTCCAAATCATAACCTAAAAAATTTTAGGCTCAAGCAGACCTCGAACCACATGACCTTAACGACGAATGGAAATTTTTCTATGGGTACCAAGCCAATAGACCAATTCGGCTTCTTTGTGTCTTGTATTTGCATTATAATGTGGGATTCACATTTAAATGATATGGAAATTACTGAAACAAAACGTTTTATTCCCAAAGGGTTCGAATTGGGTACAACATTGAGTTAGCCGAATAGGTCTATGAAGCGACGTACAGAAAGGTAACGTAGGTCAATTGCGATTCCTTAACACTCGGCGACAGAAAATATGTACTAAACAGTAACAATGAGGATGCATACACATGCAAAAGCGTAAACCACGGTACAGAATGCCTCAAATGCAAAGTATCGATTCACAAGCTCGTTATAAGCGAAGAAGTCAAGTGAATCAAAGCGATCTCGCCCTCTCTTTCACTTGGAATGTAGGAGTTTGTCAGAGGGTTTCTGAGTTCCGGGCCTGTGTGGTAGTTCAGTTAGAATAAAGAACTAAAACAAAACAACAATGTCAAGCTCCAACAAGTGAAAAAAAAAGATAAGGATTAGTATAAGCTAACGTTCACCCAACCAATCCGGCAATTATTCTTCCATAAAGTGTACTGCGAGGGCCAAAAGCACAATAACAAAAAAGGACTATATAAAAAATGATTTTATTTGCATGGCTAATGTTGATAAAGGTACAATTTAATAATAAGCGACTTCATGAATGACTATCTTATTCGTTTAAGATCCACTTTTACTTTCTGCAAAAAAAGAAAACTACTGTAGTTTTGAACTAGATTACGCCGATTCTTTTGAACTAGATTACATTTTCTAAAGAAAACAATTACAAGTGAGTAAAGCTACTGTTACAAAAATACGTACCCTAGCTTGTGATCCACTTCACTTTCTACAAAAGCAAAAACGGATCATAGAGCTAAAATCTTCACTGATTCTGCTTTTTCTTCAGCCTACCAATCTTTGTATATAGCATTTAAAGATTTATACAGTTGGCCATACAGTTATTTCAGATATGTTCTTACATTCTCAGTTGTAAAACTACTTGACGGTTTATAGTCTTCAAAGCCGTGAATTCCGACAAAAGACGAAAATTACTGAGACTGATAGATTGGCTTCTCTGTACCGTTAAAGGACAAACGATGTCCTGTCTTCTTCACATCATTTCTTGTCATCTTCCTTTACACAAATCTCATGTACACCAAATATTCTACGAGAAAAAAACAAAAGCAAAACAAAAATAAATATTATTCACATTCCAGTACAAAGTATTCTTATATTAGTGCGTTTTAATGAAAGAGATACCAGAGTTAGGTTATATTCATGTAGCATCTTGGTCTGACTCGCCATTCGGCAAGCACAAGGACGGTCCACTCTCACTGATAAATCTTAAAAACACGGGGACTTAGGCGGAACCTCGATATAACAATCTCATGTCCAAGGGACCAGCAACAAAGTGCTTCTGATTGGTTAAAAATTTGCTTCAATCAATTTAGAAACATTATGAACCCAGATCTACTTAGCGCTGCGTCATCAGTGTAAAAATTCTGCGTTTGTTCCACGTCGCGAAATGTCGGCTGTTCCAGGCTATCATGATGGACATCGTCAGGAGCCCATCACCCAGAGTCCCCCATTGCTCTAAACCTTGTGCGGAAGATGGCCACTACTACTTTTGGACTAAACACTTTTCAGTACTTAGCTATTTCCACCAGGAATTTTCTGCCCGATGAAACGAGACGCGCTCCTGATCTAAATACTTTCAAACGATGTATAAAACAGTTTAAAACTTTTAAAAAATAGTTGTATGTATTACATAGGTGTGTAACTGATGTCTATATGGCATGTGTTTTAATTCTACTATTTCTATTTTCATTTCATTTTATTTATAATTATTTCTCTTTCGGAGATGCTATCAGATATGCTATTCTAAAATCCGAATTGAAAACAAGATATGATTGTTGATTGATTGATTGATTGATTGATTGATTGATTGATTGATTGATTGCAAAGCTTACATTACTAAGGGCTGTTCATCTGAAGCTATAACAGTGCCTGATCAAGATGGCTCGTATCGAAAAAAGAAAAAAATCCAAAGCTGAAGTTCAGGGGAGTTATTTATCAACATTTCTTAAAGGTTATCAGGTTTCCTGGGTTGGAAATGAGTAATAGTGGACCGAACTTGCAAGAATATCGGAAAAAGGGTTTACTCGAAAAGGACATCAGCGTCCTTTCGCTTTCGCCGCCATTTTTTTTTTTGTTTCACTTGCGGACGCAGGCGAAAACAAGCGGGAAATCGAAACTTGAGACTGTTCTAAAAATAAAAAGATACGAGCAAAGCCAGACTCAAGAATACAGTGTGTATGGAGGCTCCGGGTAATGGGCTCCTGACATCCTTTAGGATTTTTGGAAACTTGAGGCGCAGCTTGTTCCAGGCGTTCAGATTTCCCTCGTTTTTCCCCTCGTTTTCCCCGCGTAGGATTTACCTCGCTCATCAGCTACCATGAAGGCCTGGAACAGGCCACTTGCGGCGCGTTTGAGATTTTCGTTTTCTAAAACAAAGCAAAGAAAAGCAAAAAAAGCAAAAAAAACTTACCCAACTTGTTTACAAACCAGTCCCGCCTTGCATGGCCCACACGCTTGTTGGACTTGAGCTCCGATGTAGACGTTTTTAAAGTAATTGATTGGGCCACATACCATGTTTTCCTCCAAAGGAGGTTTGCAAACCGAAATATGAGGGTTAATAGCTGGTTCTCTACGAGAAATAGATGTTCACAGAAAAATAAATCTCACCATTATCATTAAAAAAAAAATCATATCATTACATAATTATTCAAATTCCAGTTAATGACAAAACAGGGATTTGTGAAAGTGCGGTGAAATGAGGTATGCTGACCGCAGGCTTATGGTAGAATTCCTCGGTTTTCCGATAGAAGAGAAGAAAGAAATCATAATCATTATAATAATTATGAAACTGTTCTAAACCTAATTTTAACTAGAAAGGTCATTTTCAGTTAATGTTACGAAAGGGCTCAATCTCAAAACTTTATAGCAACTTGGTCTACCTTCTCAGGGAAAAAAAATTTTACAGTGCAACCTTTCTTCTGGGACACTTAAAACCAAGTTTAACCTCCAATCAGGGGACACCTAAATTTAATTTTAAGTGTACACATTGATAAATATAAATGTTTACTAGTCACAAAATGTGGCGACAGCTTCCAAAAGATGAACAATCTCACTTAAATCGATGTATTGCACTTGTGGGAGTCAACACACAACATCGTAGAGATAATTTTATCGCGATTGTTTTAGACATTATCTAGCTGTTTGAAATAATGACTGTAGCAGATTCCGAGGCAGAATAAAGGAAAAAATAATTTGTTTGTTTGGTTTATTAACAAACCTCACAGCCCAACCTCCATTCATGGGAGACCTCTTTTCAGGGGACTCTTGCCTTGGTCCCTAGTTATTTGTCTTCTGAATAGAGGTTCCACTGTACATTTACGATTGCATTGAAGATTGAGATTCTGACTTCACTAACACGAGGCATTAAATGAAAAGTTTATTTAGGATAAGTTGGTTAGTCATCTGATGAAAACGTATCCTAGTTAAGTCATTTCAATGCAATAGCTATAGCAAAACGCTATCATATCTTCTAAGCTAGAACATGTAGCCAGACACGAAAAACCAGTTAAACACCCTTGAGAAGTGGCCAAAAAATCTGTGGAAACAAATATCCCTACTTATGCAGTGGCACAAAAACCCCGGGAGAAGGCTCAAGCGAAAACATAGAAGGCTAAATACGTTGTTATGTTATACACTACTGCAAAAATAACTACGTAATTCCAAAAGAGCGTAGGACCAAATGCATAAATACATAAAGTACCCAAACATATGTTATTCTGAACTCGAAAGAATATGAGACAACGGAAAAGAAACTTTATACAACAAAACGAAAACGATCACGACGACTGAGCTAACGTAGAATGGTACAAACCTCTCACAAAAGCCATGAATAGCTCGAAACTATCCCACAACCCCTCGCGCGCCTCTCAACCGTGCCGTCAGATTAATAATTTCTGACTCTGATTCGTCCCATGTCTCTCAAACGTCAGAAAATTTCAAACATTTTTTGTACAAACCTCACACAGCATGTTCCTGGTGGATCTTTACAATCATCGTGTCGGTCACAAAATGTCCCAGGTGCCCCTGGGGCTGCGTCTTTCTTACATCGACCGTAAGTACACTGTCCTTTACAACACTGGCCATTTTGTGTGCACGCAACATTTTCCTTTAGACAATGAACGCATAGAAACATGTGGCAATATTTTCCTAAAAAAAAATTAAAGTCAAATTGATCAGCGAATTTGTCTTTCTCCTTCAAGCGAAAATGGGTAGCTTATGCTGCAGTCTTGTACAAATTTGTGTGATAGGTTCTTACGAAGCTATTATTTTGCAGAGTGGAAAATCGACACATACTGAGTGGCGCACGTAATATAGGGTAACTGTACATTGCCGATATTGTATACCATCTTTCTGTACGTATAAAATCATCAATATTATTTAAGACTGGATTTTTAATTAACAACATTCAGCAAACTTTAGGACCTCTTTAGACTGTTCCAGGCTCCAAGAATGAAATCACGCGTTTCCTAATATCCTTTCACCATGTTACTGTCAGAGACAGGCACAAGCTATAGTTAAGACCTCTTAAAAAACAAACGAACAAAAAAGAGTACAATGATTCTGAGTAAACCTAGCACATATAATTATTGGATTACCCTGGTCACAACGTTTGTGAGCATTACATTCTTGAGAATAATATCCTGGGGCAAGCATGCGCGGTTGGGCTCTCTGTGCTCCACTGTCAGCAACTGATGGCATTTCATCGGAATCCAGCTGTGGAAATGGCAGCAGGCCCTGTATGAAAATAAATCTGATTATAAGCTATGTTGTTTATTTTGGGACATTTTTCTAAGAAAACTGGCAAAACAAGTTGTCTCCTTCACTAACAATTCGAAGAACGAGATTAAAATTACAACCACGACAGACTGCATAAAAAATGATGTATAAGAACTGGTGTTGCAGTTATATAGTTGACCTATAAAGTGCAGTTAGTGTTCCTTTGGTGGAATCACTGACGCCTTCAGAAAAGTGATTTGAAAAGCAAGGGCTCAATAGATATGACCGAAATATAGCTTCACTTCCAAAGCAAATCTTTACTGGTTGATCCACATTAGCTTTAACTAGATTGAGAAGAAAATATTGCTATATAATTACCCATCAGTGATGTTTTTTTTCATTCATCGAATAATTAAATACACACCTCTTTGTAAGATTTAACCATAATATTCTTCTGTCAGAACTATTTAATCCTTCAGCCCTTTATTGCTCTTTAATATATAACTGGGATCACGGAAATGTTTAAGCCAAGTACAAACGCTGGTAAATTATTATTTCTGTAAATTTGTTTTGATTTCGAAACACAATTAGTAAGTATTATTGTGACTGTACATAAACAATATAGATATCGACGGCAAAGGATGCCGATGCAGCTTTAACCTAAAACAATTTCAGTGTTAGACAGAACAGTTGACCTATATTGGGCTTCAATGAGAGTCATACAACTAGCAGAATTACATCGCTCTAATATTAATCCTCCTTTATTGGTAACGACGCCTCTGAAGTGTAGCTGGTGACTGGTCCCAGTTTTTAATTTTACCATATATCCACTGATATGGTAACTTACACGGCATCAAATAATAAAATTAAAAAACCTTTTTCAATGTTGTTCCCATGCTAACTTCCCAAGATTTTTTTTTTTTTTTTCACGGTGAATTGAAGGAAATTTAATTACCGTAAGTTCTTATGTGCCTTTCCCAGCGTGAAGTTGCCTACCTTTTTAACTCTTTCACTGTCGGCTGGCCTCGATTCCTGTCTCCATCGTTGCTTTAAGGAGGTTTTTTTCTTGGGAAGTGCAGAGAGCAACCAAACTTGACTCAATACGGTGCCTATTAGAAGCCACCAATTTGATTGAAAGTTCATTCTTTTCAAATGAACTCTTTAAAAACCCTAGTTTTATCAAGGCCCTCGTTATGGACCGGCTAAGTTACAGAGTTTTTGTCAAGCTTAAGTTATTATTTCATAAACTTATTCATTATTAATAGTCAAAAGAAAAAAAAAAGTCAACATTTGATCTTAAAACTCTTTTGGTGCTGATCTTTGAAACTGATGCATATTTTCTCCAATTTTGCCAAGATAAGATTATAACTTCTTTGGAAATTTGAAAAGTTCGATGTATTACAGTGTTATTTATTTTATTTTTTATATTTTTTTCAACTCTTTATACGAGCGAATCAATGAGTTGTGAGCAAAGCTGGTACCAGCACTTTGGGACAATAGAAGACAGTCCTTGAAAATTTCTATTTTCACCACTTTGCAAAGAATCGGCAAAGAAGTCTCTTGCTGCCGTTTCTGATTTCACGTCGAGGATATTCATCGAACGATAATCCCTTTTAGTTTTTTAATACCTTGGCACTGCTGATTCTGTGAGCCAGTAGTTAGTTGCATTCCTGTAGGCCAAACGTCCATTAAAGATGCCGCTGACCATAAAACAACAATCTTTTGACAAGTAACATTGTGTTTAGATAGCAAGAGTCCTTTCGGTGCGTTTATTTGCCTTATCTTGCCAGATTTGTGTACGCTGATTTTCTGTGGTAAGTGGTATTCATACATCGCTTCTGTCACACTTGCTTCCTTTAACCGGTTCGAGTCTATTTCCAAGACTAATAAAATATTCATTAATTAGCCTCTAGAAACAAGGGTCCTTGCCTTCTTGTTAAAATGACTTAAAATGTTATTGGAAAAAAGGCTATTCTTGTTTTGTAAAGTGCTCGTCTTCTTTATAAATGCATATGGTGCCAGTGAAACGAAGAATACCACCAACGCGTTAGCAGAACATGAACTTGGAGGAACTATAGGAAATAAACGGGTTAGTTCCTTTAGTCATTGGGCTAGTTTGCTACAACGAGAGTACCTTTTAATTTTAGCAGAAGTTCGTTCATATAAATACTCTAACTATAATACATATTGTATATGAATGTAAGCCTCATCGGGTTAATATATGATCCTAACTTGCGTTGCGCGTATTGTATGTTTTAATAAGAACTGACATTGTTTGTATTTTCTCGCAAGATGTCAATACTGGTACCAAAGGGAAGCAAGTCGGAAAAAACCTTGTGACCTTTTTCTTCGTAGAATTAAAAAATGAGAAAATGTCACATTTTAAATATAATCTTAATTAGCACTGGTCAATCATGACCATAATCAAATTTAGTTTGATCAATCAGGTGATAGCTGCTCAGAAGATTACTATAAAACTTATTTTACAAGTTGTAAACACCAATCGAATTTAGCCAATCAGAAGCAAACATGACAAAAATAGTGACATAGCAACATTGTTGTACAATTTTGCAGCAAACTAAACCGAAGGCAGCTAATATTTGACAGAAACGCGTACAATATCACAAGAGGATTTCCGCAATTTTTTTTTTAATTTCTTTTTTTCTACTTCTGGCAAGGACAAGTTAGGGAAAATCCGTCCACTCCGCTGGAAAAAACAATGCTATAAAATTAATAAATTACCAAGTTTGAAGGTGATTTGCTGAAAACTAACGAAGATGGAGCTCCTCAAAGTCGCGAAATTTTACAGAAAAAATTCAGTTCAGTTCAGTTCATATATTTTAGTTTGTTATATAGTCAAGAGGGATTTATAAAACGGGGGGTGGTATGTTTGCAGATATTTAAAAACGTTGAAACACCTCGTCGATATTGAAGCGCACGAATAATCTTTATAGTGAAAGTTTGAACCGTTAACATAGTTTTTTAACTGAGGTGCTCTTTCCAGTTGTGTCAATCGATTTTTCCTAACAGCTAGCGCATGTCGAAACTTGAAAAAGCTGGGATGGGTCTTTTTTACCCTTAAAGTACTCTTACTAGCTTCCTGTACCCTGTATAACAGCGCAGTTTACCCAAGGCTCCTACCAATAACTAAAAGTGATTTTGCCTTTCTTTCTTCCTTTCTTATTTTTTTTTTTATAAATAGCAATTTATTTCTGGCTTGCCTCCTCATATGTCACCTTGGCATTTCCGAGCTATGGTGGAGGCTGGTACCGAAGAGTGTAGCGTCAATAAGGACTGTCCAAAAGGAAGATTTTGTGACGTTCACACGTGTAGGGCCTGTGTACACGAGAATGCAGCTTGCCATTTTATAGGTGAGAACATGTCAGCACATGTTAAATCGAGTTATCACGACGCGACCATGACAAATGGCCCTTTGAGCTATGACCATGCAGACAACTTCTCTTAAGAACGCAAACACATACAAACTTATTTCTTCATAGGTTTCTTCCACAAGTGAAGAACGCAAACGATTATCTTAAAAGACTCGACCCTCTGAGCAGTTCTTCCTTATGCGAACAGCCGTGAACGGATACGTTTGTATGCATTGTATACCAAGTCAAAAACACTCTTGTGGACATTGTCTTCTATTAATTAAGGGTCAGTAAATTGCGAAAATCAGTTCCCCGAGTTTAGTTAAACTTCATGATCACTGCAATTGTGAAACTTATACATTCTGATCCACAACTGAAATGTCCCCTGAACTAAAGGACGAAGAAATATATATAATATATTTTTTCCCAAGGTGTTTCAAGCCGCTGTTAATTGTTTATGGTGATTTGTTCCATTACTAACTTTCAATCTTGGAAAACATCGGCCTGACTTTTTTAGTCCACTATCCCTGTTCGATCCTTTAGCCATAGAACCCAACACTGATCGTTTTAATTTCATGATCTAGCTACTAGCAATCGGTAACATTTAGCAAGACTAGACCTGGACTAAATATCTGGTAGCACTTATAGTCTTCGTTACGTTGCTGCTCATGAGAATTTAATGGATGATTATTTTTGTTTCTAAACCAAATTAGGAACGTGTTGCGAGGGCTTCACTTGTCAATATGGCCACTGTACCAAGGGTGTAAAGGAAGGAGAGCCCGGAACGTATTGCGACAGGACTTCGGACTGCCTCGGTAAAGAGTCGTGTTGCGTTCGGGAAATTTCCATCAACCCACACACATCTCTATGCAAACCACTGTTGGATGAATTTGAGTCATGTGGTCCAATCAACTTATTCCATCACATTTATAACGGAGGAATGGTGGAACCGGACTGCGGGCCGTGCAAAGCAGGACTGCAATGTAAAAATGTTGGGTACGTTATCTGTTGAATGTTCGCTCGCAACAAACACACTAGGACGTGGTTCAAGAAGAAGTGGGTATAGTGGTAACTGTAGGGGTTCGTTGCGGAAAGTAATTTTGACTAAGCACTTACTCGAATACGGAGATAGTGGTACTACTACTACCACTACTACTACTACCACTACTACTACTACTACTACTACTACCACTACCACTACCACTACCACTACCACTACCACTACCACTACCACTACCACTACCACTACCACTACCACTACCACTACCACTAC